CAATTGTCATAAATGATTTTTAATCTTTTTTTAAGGGTAGGCTGGGGTATTTTAAGGGACAATGTCAAAAAATTTTCTAAGTATTCATTGGACGTGCTTACAACATTGTGCCTATCTGATCCGGACTACTTAAATACAACCCAATTGACTGTTACCAAATGGCCCTTTAGTTCAATTTATTTTAATAAAAGAATTTATAGTTCTTAACTCACTAATTAGGTAAGCTCCATATACTACATTATTAAATGCCCACTTACCTTTTTGGTTGATTTTGCATCTGTTTGGCATCGATGTCGTTGCTCCCGAAAATGGTGACACATCAGCACCACATCGGAAAAAACGGTGCTCCAGAAAATGCCTATTGTTTGGAACTTTTTTTCCATAAAAAATGGTATTCTAAGTCACGCTTTGGAAATTGAGAAGACGTGGTTTGGAGCAATGCCAGATTTGGCATTTTCTCAAATTGCAGCTCGTTTTTGCCAACGAGGATGTGATGTGACAGAGATGTGAACTTCCTATAATGGATACTAGTGCTGAAAACAGACATAGAACACTGGTACCAAATAAAAATTGTTATTGTTGTTCCAGAAAACATTCTACCTGGCAGCAATGTTTCCAAAAAAAAAAAAGACACCGTTTTCTTTTCAACCCACACACATCGATGCCAAACAAATACTTAAAGGTTCAAAGTATTGATAGGCAACTAGGCACGATATGCTTTTTTTGATAATTAAACGGATTAACTATCAAAAGAGAAAAAAGTCCTGGTTCAAATGTTTTGTTCGTCGTTAAACTTTCGATTTACATGACATAAGGAAAAGGAATTGAATTGGCGTGGTATATTTGTTTGGTATTACCCTTGAAAATATAATGGGATTAGTTTGTCCCTTTTAAAATTGAATTTTTATAGATAAAAAAAGTTATTATATAACTTACTTGAGAATTAAAAGTTCATAAGTATTTTCCACAAAATATTTATTGGGGTAAATGACATTTTGAAAAACGAATAAGGCTAAAATGATAAAATTATAGCATGAAAATCACCAATATTATCTTTTTAAATTTTCTTTAGGATTAGGGCGTCGCCTAAAGGGTCAATACTAACCTAACCTGAAGGTTAACTTCGGTTAACCTGAAGTTAACCGAACCGATGTTCGGTTCTGGTTCAATATTCTTAAAAAATTGATAGTTTCAGTTAACCATTTAAAAAAACCGTCTGTTAATCGAATCGACCAATATATATATATATATGTCCGACTGCCGGTCTAAGTGTCTAACAGTTCGGCATTGCCAGTTTGAAACTTTCATTGAAAGTTCAATAATGTCAGACTGCTAGTCTGATAGTCTCCATCGCCCATCAGTTTACTCGTCTTTACTCTTTGTATTCCCCCATGAAACAATACACAGAGAAGCCACTCCTACCTCTTCTTTTTCTTCTAATTTTCTCTTCCTTGACTTCCTTATCTTCTCCCTAGTATCGCCTCCATAGTTCAACGCTCCAATCTTTGGGTCTTTTTGTGTATTCTTGGACGGTTACAGATCCAGGTCGTATAGGGATGGGAGAATGCAGATGCAGAGCTTCTACTCTTCGTATTCTCCAATCCTCACTCCAGACGCCCATGCGACCTGCACCAACCACCAGCACAGTAGCATCCGCAGCACCAAGTAGCAACGCCGGTCGCCACCTCGCCGGTAAGCAAGTACCAACGGCAGCACCAAGCCCGTCGAACAGACTTCCGTCTCTCTTCTCTCTCTCTCACCTCTCCTCTTTGCGTCTTCGCCAGACTTTCGACAGCAACCACCGGCACCAACCAGTGCCAGCACCGACAACAACCACCATCTTCATGAAAAATCTGACACCGGCAGCAATCACCGAATCACCAACAATTTTAGTTTTTTTTTATTTTAAGTGCATAAAAAAACCAAAAAACCGAATCGCCATTAACCGGTGAACTAGTTAACCGATTGCATCGGTTCGGTTTTGGTTTGGATATTTAAAAAACCAATCGAGTCGGTTTGGTTTGAAAAAATACCCCACGGGTCGATTAACCCCTAGTAGGAATGGCAACGGGGCAGGGATCATATTTCCCGTCCTCGCCCTCAATTATAAAATTAACCCCATCCTCGTCCCCAATCCTTGTTGGGGATAAAACTTTTCCTCCATCTCCGATCCCCGATGAGGATGGGTTCCCCGCTGGGACCCAAATCCCCAAAAGTTTTTTAGATAGTAGTAGACCTGTTCATGGGCTGGGCCGGGCTTTTACTCATCATTAATGGAAATATGCTAGGCCCGAGCCCGAGCCTAGCCCGACCAATGGGTCTATAACTTGGGCCCGAGCCCAGCCTTGATAAAAAGCCCGAAGCCCGAGCCCGAGCCCGAAGCCCAACCTAATAAAAAAATTACAATTTTCCCTATTCAAATTAGAATTAAAAATTCATATGGTTTTTTTTTCCTATTTAAATGAACAATGGGCCTACAAGATAGTTTTTTTCCTTTTCTTTAAGGTTTTAAAACACAGTTTTACATTCTTAAATCAAAAAATTTATTCAAATGGACATAATCACATAACCCATTTTAAGTCTAATTTTAGGTCGGGCCGGGCTATTTTGACAAAACACAAGTTTGGTTCGAATTTATTGCGGGCCAAGATTTTTTGCCCGAGTTTAAGCCCGCGAGCCTATAAACATGTTCAAGCCCGTCCGAGGGGCCACCCGACCCATGAACAGGTCTAGATAGTAGTATTTTTTTAAAATGAATTTACTTAAAATAAATAAAATTTTTAAATTATAAACAATGTTTTGATATATATAATATAAATAGTATAATATATATTTAATATAAATTACATTTAAATATACATATATATATAAATATATAATTGGGGTCGGGGTGGGGCGGGGACCTCAATCCCCATCCCCGCCCCACCAAAATAATCCACATCCCCATCCCTACTCCACCAATATCTGGTCTATTGATAGAAGAAAAGAATATAGGTGCCAATGGACCAGCTTTGAGTTAAAACCAATCTAAATTAAAATAAATTTGAATAGATTGGATGGTCCAAACATTGAATTAGACCGATCCAAAATATTCATTGGATTGGACCTGCTCCTTTTGTAATGCATTCACATTGGACTTGATCGAATTGGACCAAATCTAGTCCAATTGACACCCCAAGTTGTTCTGGGTCACACAATTGTTTTTAATGGTGAAACAATCCATCAATATGTGCAACGTTGAAGAATCTAACAGGTTGGATTCAATCAATAAATTGGTCATGATACATCTATTTGACTACACTTAAATTGTTTTTATGAGCACCATGTCACAGTTTAACACAGGCTTAGCCTTACCTACACTTGATGGGCTTATGTTAAGTGGCATTATCATAAATATTACCAATATGTTTTTTCAAAAAAATCATGTATCCTTCTAGAAAACCACCAAAAATTTAACATACTCTTTGAGGAGGGGTGGTCGACCTCCACGAGTGCCTAACCTTGGCACTCCATAGACCAGCATTCCTTGCGGGGCATCCTAGTTAATGGCTAACATGGCTACCGAGGTTCCTCATGGGCATGCACACACTCATGGGGACTGTGTAGGGATTGACACTGCGCAACACATATGAAAGAAAGGCTTTGCATGTGGGCCTGGCCTTTGCATGTGACATGCCCCTACACCTCACTAGTCTTGTATTTAAGGCTCCATTTGGAAGGAGTAAATATGTAGAATGCAAAACCTTGTATTTTGTATTATTTTATATCTATTTGTATTGTACTCTTACCAAACTGAGCCTAAGCTAATCGAGCTACCTTGTTGCTCACAACGCACAGGTGTGTTCACGACTCAGTGGTTGCCTACACATATTATCGGCATATTCTCCCTTTGGCACATAAGAGGCACCTCCCGTGGACCAGCAAGAGCCAACATTAGAACCCCCACCATGCACCACAATTGGTGAAACCATCAACAGGTTGACACATAGCCCTTACAACACAAAAGGCTTGTCCTAGCTGCACATGGCTTGGATGCCACATAGGTTTCTTTTGCTGTTAAACCTAACCCTGTGACAAATTTGAGTTAAAACCAATATAAATTAAAACAAATTTGAACAGATTGGACGGTCCAAATATTGAATTGGACCGGTCCAAAATGTTTATTGGATGGTCCATTTATAATGGACTCACATTGATCTGCATCGAATTGGACCAAATCTACTACAATTGACACCCCTAATTGTTGGTGGGTCATGCAATTGTTTTGAACGGTGAAACTGTCCGTCGATATGTGCGACGTCGGAGAATCTGACGGGTTGGATTCAGTCAATAAATCGGTCATGATTCGTCTGTTTGACTACATTGAAAACAGATTTTACGAGCACCAGGCATTTTCCATCTTTGACCAGGCGTCACTCCAATCGATGACCTTATTCGAGATCGAGGCAACCGACATACACTCTATCTTTACTATATTTACAAAACGTACCAATACGTTTCACATACGGAACGGATATGACCCAGACCCACCCAAAATAGGTGGACTGGTCCGACTGGATTATATAAATAAGTTGGTCAAATTTTAACAGCTTTCTTAGGTTGATCCCGATCATCTACTCCATAGTCCATAGACTTTCTCTTACAATTTTTTCTTCTCTTTCTCTCTCCCTCTCGTCTAGATGATTTATAGGTGTGATCGGTTGACATTTGGCAAAAGTGCTGCTCCAACTGAATCTGGGCTATTTTAAAACCGGGTTGAGTTCAATTTTTTACATCGTCTGGAAACTGTGTTGAACTAACTCAATCGACTAAAAAAAGAAGGGTCTAAGCAGCAGAGAAAAGAGCGAGCGGGTTTGGGTTGGGCTGATTAGACCCAGAAAGAAAAAAGAATAGGAAAAGAAAAAAAAAAAAAAAAAAGTTGGTAGAGATTATTGTTACCGGAGTGGATGAGGCAAGAGAAGAGAAGAAGAAAATTAGAAATTAGAAAAGGCTGGTTGGAATAAAATTTGGGGAGATGATGACGGTGTTTCTGGATGTCAAATGGAGCAGAGGGGCATTTATGGGAATGCAAATGGAATAAGAAAGAAAACGGTTTCTGTTGGTATTGATAATAGCAATTCAATTCAATTTTGCAGCAAATAAAATGATTTTAAAATCGATTTCTTTTAGGAGGTTTGACTGCTGCTGTTTGTTTTGCTCTCTCTCTCTCTCTCTCCACAATCCTTTCCTTCAGGCTTCAAGCTCCCCACTTTTGCTTCTTTATTTTCTTTTTCGCAATCACCCCATGCTTTCATTTGACTTCTTAGGGTTTCGCTTTTTAGTGTCTCTCCTCCCTTCTTTCTATCTCGGCATTCACTTTATTCGATCTAACGAAAGCAAATCACATCTTTCCATTTTCTCGTTCGGATCTCTAATCTACAGTTGCTAGAGAGCTGCTGATCTTTGGTCTTCACTGGTTCTGTTCTCAGGTTTCATTCGCATATCTTTACTTAATTTGCTTTTGTTTATTTTGGAATTTCATAATCAGAGAACGCGTCATCGGAAACAGTTTCTTTGTGGAAAGATGGAGTTCCTTGTTTTTTAAATCATTCCATCCTTCTTTTAATTATTTTTAAGTTTGGTCTCGGTAAGAATTGAAATCATTTAAGTTACTTAACGAGTAATTTTATCGTTGGATTTGGGCTGCCGTTTGTGGTGGTTCTTGGCGGAATTTGTATTGTGGAAGTTGAATTTCGGTTTTTGCATGACGAATTTGAGTGATTAGTTTGGTTTCTGTTTTCAGGTTGGCTTTAAAGATGTTATTTTTTTCCCTTTTATGTGGAACTTTAGGGTTCCATGGCCATTGATTTATGTCCAGTTAGGAGAAAAGAATTGATACTTAATGGTTTAATTTGCATTTCATACGTAGATGAAGATGCCGATGTATGGCATTTTCATGGGTTTTACCGGCTTTCTTGACCTGTTCGGAATGTTAAGTTTTGGTAATTTTTAATTTCCTTTTCTTTGTTGAGTTTTTTTTTTTTTCTTCTTTTATCTTTTGCTTGCTCCGAGCCTTTCTTTAATGGAGTTTAACGACTGTGCAGTTTCTCCGGGAAGTTTCTCTATTATTTCATGTGATGGCCATTAAGAGCACTTAACAACTTATTATTGGGGTTTTGGGGTGAATAAGGATTGGTAAAAGCACTAGAACTTACTATTTAGGTTAACCGCTAAGTATTAATATATATAGGTTTGTTTCTGCAACTATACAGTCTATACATGGAGAAATTCTTAATTACTATACCTTTTTTCACTTGGTATCCAGAGTTGGGTGCACCCATCTTCTCAGACCCCATTAAGCAATGAGGCAGCCAGTAACCTCTGTCTTCCCTTGTGTAGGAACAAATCTCTGAAAGGTTTAGGGCCTAAAATGGGATGTTTCACGGTATTAAAAAGTAAGAAGAAGAAGTCTGAGCAGTCCAACTACATCAAACAGATGAAGCCTCGGGAGAATACACCCACCATGCTCCCTGAACCACAAACAAATGGTCGCTCACTGCAGTCTGCCCCTCCAAGCTTCAGAACAAGAGCCAAACCTGCCCAACCAGTTACTTACCTCACTAATAGTAGAATCCGTGCTTTATCCGCTCCTTCAAGCTTAAATGTGGCAGAAAGAGATGCACTCTCATCAATTGAATATGATGAACATGAAGAATTGAAGACCCGAGCAGGGTTCACAAGGGAACATCATGCTCCAAGCCCACAACCACTTCCTCTGCCATCACCTCAAAGCACTGCTGTTTTGAAAAATATGGGAAGCTTCAAGGCAGCGAATGCTGGCAGTTCTATCTCTGCTTCTGGCCCCTTGCCTCTGCCTCCTTTGGGAGGACTCCGAAACTTTTCATATGAAGAGATTGCGGCTGCTTGCCAACAATTTTCTCCTGAACGTTGCATGTCAGGAAGTCTTTCTTCTGTAATTTATAAAGCTTCTTTTGGAGAAGATTCATCAGGTTCCAAGAGGGTTGAAGCCACAGTAACTCGCCTTCTTCCATCCAATCAGGTAAATTATAATTCACAGCCCTCCTAGGTTGCCACTACATGGGTTTTTTTAATCTATTATTAAGTTTCACCTCTTATATGGCACTACAGAATAGAATGGCAAAACAGGATTCATGTAGCCAACCCCATATAGTTGGGATAAAGGGTTAAATGATGATGATGATGATTTAGTTTCACCTGTCCTTTTCAGTATTTGCTAATCTTAGAGTGAGATACATCTGAAGAACTAGTAACGAACCCATTTGTACCTTTGGGTGTTCTTGAGTGCACTCTGTACTGTGACTTCTGTCTTTGATCTTTTAACTGTTATCTGAGATTCTTGTTTATGGTGCTATTTTTCCCATGATCATATAAAGGCCATGACTATCAACTATGAATACACATCAAGTCAAATGGTGTGAAGGTTATTTTACTTGAAAAGGATGTCTTTTCAACTGAACTATAAGGAGGATGTCAAATATAACAAAAAATTCAGCACATAGCCCACTAACATGGTCTTATAAAGGCCACAGTCATCAACTGATAAAATGGAGTAAGGATGGTCTGGTAAACAAAACAATGAGATAGGCATAGAGGCACATGGTTGACAATTGTATAAATCTATTTGATTCACACCATAAGTATTGGAAAGCAAAGTATACATGCTATGTATTGTCACTGATGCACTGAGAAAACTTTAAAGTGTGTATCCTGGTTATTTTATTTATAATTTTATACAAGCATGTTGAGTTACTAGTTTTGACGTGGGTGCATGTGAAAGTTCTTTTCATTTGTTTGTTGATACTTTCAGAGTTTGAGTATCATATTTTTTTTTATGGTGTGGTCTCAACATGTTTGTGTCTTGCAGGGGTTCAAAGAATTTATCAATGAGGTTAATACACTTGCATCATTGCAACATCCACAGCTCTGTAAATTGCTTGGTTACCATGCACGTGAGGGTTCAGAACAGCGGATGTTGGTCTATGAAAGGCTATACCATGGAAGCTTAGACAAGCTGCTTTATGGCAGGTCTGATGGGCCCCCAATTGACTGGTATACAAGGATGAAAGTGGCTCTTTGTTCAGCACAAGGTCTTGCTTTTCTGCATGAAGAAGGGCCTTTTCAGGTATATTCACCCTTCCATCTAGAATATCATTCAGGGCTGAATTTAATTGAAGTTTTAATGAGATTTCATTTTTTTTGGCCATGCATTTCCTATTGATGAGGATGTAAACAATCATGAGAAAGAGTAGAATCTTGTAATTTCAGCCCAATCTACTCATGCCTAAACTAATTATCCCATATTTTCCACCTTGTAGATCTTTTAGGTTAAGAGTAGGACTGGTCACTGTGATCCACATGGACCACATCACACATTCTTCTTGATGGTGGGTTGTTGGTTGATCAGAACCATTGCTGTATGGACATGGACATGGGAATTACAATCTTACACATGTTTACAAGAGTCTGACACAGTGAACCCAAAAAATTGGGATTCTTGAGCGTATCTCACATAAACAATATTCTATTGTACATATTAGATATTCTGGTTTTTAATATTATTCATAAAATTCATAAACTATATAGATAAAACAACCTAAATAGTTAAATTACTATTTATAATTGACAAGTAAAAAGGACATGAGTAGAAGTAGTAAGAAATGATTTAAGCGCCAATAATTTTACAATGGCTATGGCATTAAACAGAACAGTATAGCAAAACAGGATTCATTTAGCTGGCCCCATATAGTTGGGACAAGGTTTGGATGATGATGATGATGATTCTTAATTTCAATGTTAATTGGAAAAGATCCAATAAACAATAGGTCATAAGTTATGTGTAAATTGGGAAAATAAAAATAGTAGAGTCCCCTTGTACAGTTTAAATGGTTGGAGAACTGTTGCATAGAGGTATTTAAAGTGAGATTCATAGTTTTGAAGAGTTGAGTCAGTGGGCATTTGGAGAGTCAGGCAAGGGTCAACTTGTGGACACACATCAACTCATGAGTCCCCATGCTGGTTATAATCATATAACTGGGTTGGTTTAACCTTTAAAAATATCCAAGGCTGGACCCTTTGGATGGTGGATTGTAGACCTTTACATTTGTCAAGTCTGTCGTGTGGCCAGAGATTGAGAAGGATACTTGAGTTTGAGGCATTCCTCTTTGTATGCATTAAACCTGTTATTTTATCAATTCAGGTTCACCTTATGCTTGTTATTTTGGCAGGCAATGTACAATGAATTCTCAACTGCCAATATACAGATCGACAAAGATTTCAGTGCAAAGCTCTCAGGTTATGGTTGTGTCAGCCATAATCCAGAGGCAGAGATATCCAATTCTTCAACGGTATGTTTTCTGTACTCAACACTTGAATGTTGCTACTGTTATCAATTCTGATTTCTGAAGCAGGGGGGCTCCTGCTTATTCTAATTTGGGGTGGATGATATTCATTGTGTATTGTAGGAAGTATCAATGCTGCTTTAAACATGTTGATTACCAAAAAGATGCTGTTTACATAATATTTGTTTAGTGACCAAGTGATGGGAAAATTAAAATATTTCTTCTGAGCAGTAAAAATCCAAACAATTTTTGTTCTGGGAATATAATGGTTTGAAATTTATATGGCTGTCTGATGCATGGGTTAATTTTTGTTGGATTTTCTGAGTTGTCAATCATATCTTGATGAATCTTGCTCCTGTGTTTGGATGGATCCCTTTCAACCCTTCAGGCACTGGCAAATCTTTCAGTAGAGACGTTGGAGAGAGGATTACTCACTCCAAAAAGCAATGTTTGGAGCTTTGGAATTGTTCTTCTTGAATTACTCACAGGGCGGAGGAATCTTGACAGCCGCCACCCCAAGGAAGAAATGAACTTAGTTAAGTGGAGCAGACCTTTCCTGGCTGATGATTGCCGATTATCCTTGATCATGGACCCACGGCTAAAAGGCCGCTTTCCAGCTAAAGCAGCTCGAACTGTGGCTGACATTGCATTAAGATGTCTCCAGAAGGATCCATCTGAAAGACCCACAATGAGAACTATAGTTGAGTCTCTGAAAAACATCCAAGACATGAAGTATGCTTGTCGGTTTCCACTCCAGGAGCCTGCTACTATATCTGGAAAACAGATGTTAAGGTCACCAAGTCTCAATGGTACCGTTACCCCAGCCCCCAGATTAAGTTTCTCACCTTCTCCACCTTCAAGAACGGGGCTATCTGTTTCTCCAACAAGGCCACCCTCAGTGCCCATGTCACTCCCACCGCGGTCATGTTCATCTGTGATTTCATTGGAGGAAAATGGGGTACAGGAAAGTCGGAAATCAGCCTCCTCAACAATTCGAAGGGCTGGAGTTGAAGGGTTTTGATTGTTAATAGTATATATATTTTTCTTCTTTCTTTTTTTCATTTTTAACCGTTGTATTGTGATTTAACATGGTATATAGAAAGATAAAGATGTGGTTTTTCCACCTTTCTATTGCTTGAGAAAGATGAAAAGAGAGAATGCTATTTGTAGATAAAGAAGAGTGCAACTGCAAGCCTGTTTTATATGGATTCAATCAGCTTTGTCTATTTCATACTCCAACCAATAACTCGTGTCTTTTCTTCTTTCCCTAAGGCCATGTTTGGTTTGAAGGAAAAGATAGGGAAAGAAAAGGAAAGGAAAGTAGAGAAATCTATGCAAAGTTTGTAAAGGTTCCCCTACCTTTTCCTTGTTATGTTTGATTTGACAGAAAATCAGAGTAACAGAAAAGTTGAGGGAAAGTTCACAAATTTTCTTAACATGGAATCGAGTCAAAGAAAGGCAGAGAGGAAGATGGTATTTTTCTCTATATGCGCTCTACACTCATGGCATGGGTGATTACTGGACCTAACCTCTAAAGCCTGTAGTGTGTCGACCGTTGGCTAAACTGAACCAGAGCACTGCCACCGGTGGCCAGGGAGGATGAACAGACTCGGGTCCTTGTCGACTATGCCAGTTATTAAGATTTAATAAAGAAAATAATATAACTCTTTCTGGAGTCAAAAAGTCTAAACAATCAATCTTGCTATTGATGAAGACATGACGCATTCGGCCGTTGAATTTCAACGAGGGTAACACCATAAAAGGCCTAATAAAAGAAAATATATGGGGGAAGAGACAATGTGGAAGGGTCAAGGGAGAACTGAGAAGCAGAAGCTTACTCGTCTTTGCCCCTAAATTCCAAGAAGACGGCCCAATCTAGTGGGATGTGGCATGGGGGTACAGACTTTGGAAAATTGACGAAATTGTTCTGATCCAAACAGTATATGTTTTGGTTACTACTAGTACTTTGATATTTTCTAGCTCCAATCACCAAACGGTTGCCAAAGCTTTGGACTGTGTCTGTGTGTAGTCAATGTAGCCTTCCCATCCAAATCCCCTGGCAAATTGCAAGTTGCAAATAGTAATACAATTGGGCTTGTACAACACCAGATGACTATCAAAAAATATATATATACACACAATAGGGGTTGGACCCAAGTTGTAGAATGCTAATTGGGTTATATGATCTAGAATGTTAAATTTATTCCATGTCAAGAATATATATATATATATATTAAAACAAAACGATCAATTTTTTTTTCCTTTTTTTGAATTTTTTACTTTTTTATTCCATGTCATTTTTGAAACAACCAATGAGATGCACTTTCCCAATAACCTAAATAATCTTTTCTCCAAAAATTTATCCTAAACTAACTCCCCCACTTTCTCCAGAATTATCTTTAATTCCTATTTATCTCGACAATTATCTCTAATTTAGTAGAGAGTTTATCTCCTAAATTATCTCTAATTCCTATGTATCATCTCCCCTACTTTTTATCTAAATTTATCTAAAGAAAGTTTCGATTAAAAAATTTAAGAATTATTTAAATATTCTAACAAAATTATGTAATAACTTTAAAATATTTATTAAAAATACAAAAAATAATTTTATGTTTTTACAAAATATATCACAAAATCACATACTAACAATTTAAATTATGTTTTTCCGGATTATCAATTTAAATGCTTTTCAAATATTTAATAATATGTAATAGCTTTAAATAAATAAAATTCAAATAACAAAAAAAAATTAAATATTTTATAGATTATTTAAATATTTAAATAACTAAATATTTATCATAACTATATTTTAAATAGTTAAAATAACGAAATTATCTAATAAATAATTTTATATTTTTACAAAATATATCACGAAATTATGTACTAACAAATTAAATTACGTTTTTCCGGATCATAAATTTAAATGTTTTTCAAATATTTAATAATATGTAATAGCTTTAAATAAATAAAATTCAAATAAAAAAAATTAAATATTTTATAGATTATTAAAATATTTAAATAACTAGATATTTATCATAACTAAATTTTAAATAGTTAAAATAACGAAATTATGTAATAAATAAAAAAAATCTTTAAAGCAGAAAAATAATTATAACATAATATTGAAATTAATAATAATTTAATATATTACAAAATTAATAATGAAATTATGTAATAATAATACAAATATGATTTTATGGATAATTAAATTCCATAAATAATATTTTTAAAACTTAAATAGTTTATAATTTTTTAAGTATTTAAATAACTGGGTATTTTAAATAACAAAATATTTAATATAACTAGATTTTAAATAGTTAAAATAAAGAAATTATGTAATAAATTTAAAAAAAATCTAAAAAGTAGAAAAATAATTATAACATAATATTGAAAATAATAATAATTTAATATTTTTACATAATATTGTAAATAACTAATTTCACTTATATCAAGTAATAATTCGAGAAAATAACTTTCAAAAAAAATTAATGTTTATTAATAATAATTTTAAACTCTTAATCTGTATTTATTATATAATTATATATACTAAAATTAATATTTATTGTATTTCAGTAATTATTTATTATTTTTGTGATAAATGTATTTTCAATGATTATGTATAAATTTATTTTGTTTTATTATTTAATAGAAAACTTTCAATAGTTATTGGAGATTAAACTACTATTAGTGGAATTTTTAAATTTAATTTATTGTATTTTTGTTATAACTTATTGATTAATATTTATTAGAGATCAAACTATTATTTGAGATTATACTATTTATTGACTAAGTTAATATACTTTTAGTACTTATTGTATTTTTTTTTCATTATCAGTATATTTTTAATAATTGTGTATTTTTGCTATAAATTTTCAATAATTATTGGAGATTAAACTATTGTTATTTGTCAGAGATGAGACTATTAATTTAGCTGAAATTATGAGTGTTCATGAGTTGGTTCGGTTAGGTCGTAGGCTATTTGGCCAACCAAATTGACCTGGTTAGGTTAGGGAGATCGTTAACTGAAACCAAAACTGACCTTTTGTGAAAATCGACCCACTCAAGTTGTATCGGTTTGGGTCGATTTTTTGGTTTAGTCAGTCAGTTCAAAAGATTTAAACTTAAAAATTTAATTTAATTTTAAAAACTATAGTGCAATTATTAAAAAATAAATTTAAAAATTAGATTTATGATATAAAACATTTTGGACTAAGAAATATGGAAAGTTTTCTATTTTTTTATATTAAAAAGTATATTTATATCCATGGTTAGGTCATTCAATTTTGGTTGGTTTACAAATGGCCAAAGTGAAATTGATCCAACTTGGTTGAAGTGGGAAATTTTTTAAACAAAACCAACCTAAAATATTAGAAAACCGACCAACTTGGGTTGAGTTGATCGAGTTGGCCGGTTTCATCAGTTTGATGAATAAACCTAACTGAAATTAATTATTGTTACTTCTGTATTATAAAAAAATTATTAAAAGTATTATATAAAATATGAACAATTATTAATTATTTAAAAAATTAAAAATATAAAACAATTGTATACTCTTATGTGATTCTATTAGGGTTATTTACTAGAACACATCTTATAGTTTTACATATTTACTTAAACCTACCTTATAGTTTTCATTTTATTAAAACATCTCATATATTTTACAACTTATTTACTTAACCAACCTTTCATTAAGGAGTGTTTATTTTTCCATTAGGCCCATGATTTTTTATTCCAAAAATACCCTTAACACTTTTTGTACAGAAAACAAAATTAACCAAATATAGCCAATAGAGTGGTTGACCGTGTCTTATAAATGGCCAAAATGGTATTTTTATTTTTAGTTTCTTTTGACTAAATTTATTTAAATGAACACTAGGGTCAACATTGTCATTTTCCACTGTCATCTAATGGAAGATTGATTAAATCCATTGCAAATTATAAGTGATGTTTTAGTAAAATTTTAATTATAGGGTAGATTTTAGTAAATCCATGAAATATAAGGGATATTTTAGTAGATGATCATTTCTATTATTTAACTTTCACTTAATAAATCTCGTGCATCGCACGGGTCCCTACTAGTTAATTAATTAATATGTTAATCAGTTATGAAATATTAAATTCAGCCGCCTGCCACATAACATTAAGGCCCCAATTGGAAATGCCATTGATTTTACACAAATAACTTATATATATAGTTTTTTATACTATTTTATTTCAATTGTATTGTAATTTTTTTATTTTATTATTTTATATATAAATAATTGTGTACATCAAAATTCATATAAAATAAAATTTTAAGATTTTTTTTATTGTTTGTCTAATTTGTTAATTTATTTTAAAATTTTTAGTATTTTTTCAATTTTTTTAAATGTGCCTCCCATGGCTTGGCTCAAGGCTCAGCATAGCGCAGGCCCACCTGGGCTCGTGCCAGGCCTGACATCTGAAGTATCCTAGAGGAAGCAAGCATGGCCTGACACAGCCCGCCAGAGCATGGTGGCCCCATTTACACCTCTACTTACTCATGAGTTCAAAGCCTAACCCTAAAAAGAGTTTCATAAAATGATTCAGTAAATGACGATCAAATTTGGATCCTCTTATACTCAATCTCTCGGAAAGCCATACCATTTTGGGGTGGGCATGGGTTGGTTTGGTTCAATTTCAAGGTAGAACCTAGAATCTGTCAGTTCTAGGTTCTTGGAATCGGAACCTATCCTTTTAAGATTGGTTCTAAGGATAATAATAATAATAATAATAATAATAATAATAATAATAATAATAATAATAATAATAATAATAATAATAATAATAATAATAATAATAATAATAATAATAATAATAATAATAATAATAATAATAATAATAATAATAATAAATTGAGTAATTTAATTTCAATATTATAATAATATATTAATATATAGTTCAAAATTTATCATTATGGTTTAAATTTTGTAAATATTACCTTTTACATTACTTGTTATACAAATTCAAATATCAAGTTAAAGAAAAATGATCAAATAACTTAAGTGAATTAATGATCAATTGAGACCATGATCTTTGTAACCATGAGTGCTTAGGTTCAAATCTTCACATCCTTAATATATTTTGAGATTTATTTCAAGACAAGTTTGATTATAATTCCAGTTCCACCAAGGCCGATTTTCTGGGCTGATTCAGGTAGGATAAACCCCTACGCCTTAGAACCGGTTTGGGTGG